TGCCAGTAGACTATTGCATGGTTTGTCCTGTTAACTGCTAAGGTAAATTTCAGCCTTTAGTCCAGTGAGGGTATGTTATTTTGCTAGGTTGGGTCTTTGTTTTGTTTTGTTTCGTTTTGGGTTTTTTGGACACTTTTCTCACTGAAAGCCCTTGGAGAGACATAATTCATTCTTAAGTGGAGTTTCATTTAAAACTTTCTGTTGGCTGCTACAACCTGAGTTGGGGGGGAACCCAAACCAAACCCCTCAAGCAAGACACAACACAAATGAAAAAGCCTAATTGAAAACAGTAGGTTGAAAGAAAATCTGTCTTTTGCTAGCTGAAGGTTGTCAAATGCAGAGAGAAACAGGCTAAATGTTCATGTTGCAGACACAACACCAGAAGGCATTATCTGATTTATAAAAGTGATGCTGTTCTTGTGGTGTCCTTACATAGCTGGTTTTAATTAGTATTTATTTAGCTGTAATTCAGTAATGACCAGAGGTTCCCAGTGTGCTGAAAGGTTGTCTCAGGAAATGGCCCAGAAAGTGGCTTAAACCACCAATTGAAATATCATTCCGTTAATATATGAAACACTTTCTACAGTTGTAATTTTGCTTCTTTATACTGCTTAATTAGGTGAAGCTAGTAGTTGGTGAATTAGCCTGCTCAGGTAATCCCTTTTCCTTTTCTTGGTTTTGGTTTTATCATCATATTTTAGAGCAGCATTCTGAATTTGTTGTCCTTGCTTTTGTTCAGGAAACACCAGTGGAATGAAGCTGTAGATGCAAACTGAGGCTGTTTAAAAATCAGACAGGTTAATGATGGAAATGAATGAACCAAAGTCCAGGGAAGCAGACAGAGGGACTAGTAAACTTCTTCAGGGTAGCATCACTCACTCCTGGTTTAGACATATGCTAAAGGTGTACACAACAGACTCAAAATTAATTAACTGGGTTTTGTTTTTAAAGGAGTGTTAGTTTATTGTGCAGGAAAAGCTTTATCACAGATGTTGTGGTGAGACTGTGCTAGACTATAGGCCTTTCAAAAGGCATGTTATGATTTTTTTGGTGTTTCTTAGGTGTTATTTTTTGAAATAATGACTTTTGTGGAACCAGTGCCATCAGGGTATTGGCTTTCCATATATGAAATTATGGGGACTTTCTTGTTTCAGACTTTGAAATATACAAGCCGTGGCTATGCATCACAGCGTACTTTAAATGTAAGTATGAAGTACTATCTGACTGTAATAAATCACCATTTTAAATTTGTTTCTTAATCACTCAAGTTTTGTAGAAGTTATCCCAAAAAAAAATCTGCATCGAAGACAATGTGACTTGTGGCCAAGTCACACTTTGTTGCAAAATATGGAATAAAAGTCAGTTTTCCTTTTTCATTTTCATTTGCTAGTTGTTTGATGGTCTGGGACAAAATTAGAAGTGTGTCAGCAAACTTAAGCTTCAAGCAACTCTCTACCCATAATTAGGAAAGACAGCTCATGTCAGCTAATCCCTTAGGAATTATTTATATGTTATCCCTCAACTTGCTGTTACAGCATAAAAGATGAAGACTAGTATGTTACTATCACTGAAGTCAATTGCCACGAATTAATCCTTGAGCATTAACCAACTTTGTTCAGTTCCCACCTTTGGGATTCTTGTAAATCCATCCCAGGGCTGAGCAAAATGCACTCCAGCTGTTCCGTTGCATAAAGGGCAGCACAGCACACACCTTCACCCCCTTTTCTTCTTGGCATGTTCTTCCCAAAGACCCCATGTCCCTGCATGGCAGCACTCCAGCTGTGTGAGCCATCCCACCACGACTCTGTGAGCCCAAGATTATAGTCCTGCAGCTGCACATTGGTCTCCTTAAATTTATTCCCCATACTGCATGCATTATTGAAGATTATTTTAGTGCTCTGAAACACTTTCAGGATAAAAGAGAAGCTCTGACGTCAACGAAGGAATAAAAGTGGGTACATTTAAACAATACTGGTGTATGTGCACAATTGTGGGAGAGACTGTGACATTTGCTCCATGTTTCTCCACTTAGGAGGTGGTGATAGCAAGTGCTGTAAGGACACCGATTGGATCTTTCCAAGGATCTCTTTCATCATTGCCAGCCAATAAACTTGGTTCCATTGCAATTAAAGGAGCAATTGACAGAGCAGGTATGTGCAACTGTTTTTTCTGTGACAAAGAAAAGCTCACGTGGCTCAGAACAGTATCAGTCTGTGTCTTTTCAATTGCTTGATACACAAAATGTCCTGGGATTTTGTGCTCCTGTGGCACTCTTAAGTCGATCTGCAAATGCTGTTGAAGTGAAGCTGATTGTTGGGCCTTGTTTCAATCTGAGTATTACCTAGAGATATCTCTGCTAATCCAAACCTGACTGAACATGCTAATTGTTTTTCTGTGGTTTTGTGGCACATATAAGCTGATGCAAAGGCTATTTGTTGCTGGAACCTTTCCTTTCCCTGCTCATTTTTTACATGGGCATGTATGCTTGTAGGACACCCTTGTGAGTCTGTTGATGCATTCAAACTAGCTAAAAAGTCTTTTTAGGAGAGAGAAGTGTTAATTTTCTACAAATTTGACTACTTGAAACACATGTTACAAGGGCCTGAACACCAGGGCTCTTACAAGAGATGCAGTGGGAGAGCAGGACTCTTCTCTCTGGTTACAGCTTGCTGTGGCCTTGGCTTGCCCTTCTTAAACAAACTAAGCTGTGTCTGTAGACCTAATTGGGGCAGGTAGAGAGTTCTGTGCATTTAACCATCCTTAGAAACTGAGCTGCTCAGGTGACTCGTGAGACTTGGAAATGTTTTAGTTAGCTAACTGTAGTTTGTTCTGCAGGGTAACAAGGGAAGTCTTTTCTGTGGCAGACACCAGTTCACCATTTTCCATGAATATAAGGGTAGAGATGTGGGATGCACCCACAGACCTGTGCACTGTTAGCACATGGGTCACATGTGGCAAATTAATCAGTCTTTAATAGAAAGCATCAATGGGAACTTTTGTTAAAGGGAGTTATGTTTTCTGTGCCACGGATCCTGAATGGAAACAATTTTGTTTTGTAGGTATCCCTGCAGAAGAAGTGAAAGAGGCTTATATGGGTAATGTCTTGCAGGCTGGACAAGGACAAGCTCCTGCAAGACAGGCAGTCTTGGGTGCAGGTATTCATTCTCTTGATACTGGGGATAAAGGTTTTCTGTCTTTCTGTAGACTGAACCTATTGAGCTATGAGTGAAAGCAGAGTGTGCCCAGCCTTGTCCCAAGGCAGTCTGTGTATGCTTTTATCCCTCTGGTGGGTGAAGGGTGTTTGTTGTACTCATGTGAGTGGGATGTTACTACCCAGTGTTTGCAGAACAGTACTGGAGACCAGGCTGCTGATTCCACAGCACTTACACTAATGATGGATACTGCTGTGAATCTTTCACAAAAAACTCATTTCTTCAACATATCATTACTTTCAAGTCTTTCCGGATAAGGGACCAATGAGTTTCCTTGAACTGCAAATACAGGTACCTCATTACACTCATCATCCCATGGAGTCTGGAGCTGTCACTTGTAGCTGTCACTCTGTAGTGGTAACTGCATCATGGATGTTACTGGGGTGCAGGAACTATTTCCCTCTGGCTGTGGGGATGGGATTCCATACTTCACCATGTCTCTAGGAAAGTCTGTGGGTTAGAGAAGAGCTGCATACTTTCTTGTCTCTATCCCTGTACTTTCTTGAGAGAGAAGGAACTGCTTCCATGAGAGGCAGAGGGGTCAATATGGCTCTTTTCTTTCATGGAGTCAGAATGGTTTGGGTTGAAAGGGCCCAAAAAGATCCTCTAGTTCCAAGGCCCCTGCTATGAACAGGCACACCTTCCACTAGACCAAGTGGCTCAAAGCCCCATCCAACCTGGCCTTGGACACTTCCAGGGATGGGACATCCACAGCTTCTCTGGGCAGCGTGTTCTGGTGCCTTACCACCTGCACAGTAAAGAATTTCCCCTAACTGTCTTTTCCATCTCACTGCTGGTATGGAGGTGATGTGCTGGTAAGCAGAGCCATAACACATGAGAGCCAGCCTAGGCTAGCAGCTGCAGTGATGCAGAGGTCTTGAGCCAAGCTGAATGATGCTGACACTGATCCCTGGCACTTCTGGTCTTGTTCAGTATTGCATGTCTTTAAGGTCTCTGTACTTCTGAGGTCTGTCTTGTTGCCATTGACTAAGTTCTCCAGCTTGTTTATGCATTTTCAGTCTTGGATGCTGCTTGGAGGCAAGGATGGGACTTCTGGGAGGAGGAATAGTTCTAGAGTTGCTTCCTCGACCTCCTGTTTCTCAGATTCTTTGCTTGCTTGCTCCCTTATCACAAGTCTGTGGTTGGAAGGGAAGAAACAACAAGAGTCCCCAAGAAGGACAGTAACTATGAATAAGGGTAGATAAATTGTCCTGGCAGGCTAAATAGTGCAAGCTGCACATCCTGGGCTTGGATAAACATTGGTCCCATATGAAATATTGCTAAAATGCTGATAAATTGTTAGCCTACCCTTTAAATAATAGAGTTATACAAACAACTTCTTTTGACTCAGGTCTAGCAATCTCCACTCCTACTACAACTGTCAATAAAGTCTGCGCGTCAGGAATGAAATCCATCATGATGGCAGCACAGAGCCTGATGTGTGGGAGTCAGGTATGTGAATTTCAGTGCTGTTTTAGGCAAGAAACACACCATTGCTGTTATAGATCCTGTCCTACCAATGCTTTGGGATTGTGTTTTGGCTTGGAATAATAGAGCAAATTAGTAAGGTTTCATTTTGTTTCTGGAGCCTTAAATTTATAGTCATTTAAATGTGCTTTGGTTTAAAACAGGAAAAAAAAAGGTAAATATTGTAGTTGGAAAATTGTCAGATGTGTTTTTAGAGCTGAGCAAATAAGGTGGATTCTTTTTTTTTTGGTGGAGTATTTACAACCTCTCTTTACTGCTCTACCCTAACCCCACCTACCGCTCCAGGCCCCAAAATATAATTAAAGGAATTTTCAAGCTTTCTGTTTTGAAAAACTTAAGAAGTTTTTATAGAATTAGTTTTTGGTGACCTGATTTTCAGACACTTTTAACACTTAAATGAATTGAATGTGCATATTAAAACCGTGTTGTTTCCAAGTACACTAAAGATGTTTCAAGATTTTTTAAATTGTTTTAATAGAAGCAGAATCTATTGTTGCTGAATAAGATTTTTCATTAAAGAGCCAAATGGAGGGAAATCACTCATCTGTCCACTGTGTTCCATGAATTTCTATACAGTGGGAAAAAATACTTTCACTTGATGGTAGGATAGGAACATACACCACCTTCAGTAAGCTGTTAAATGCTGTGCAGCAGAGAATGTGGGAGGAGTGTGAGTGTGAAGACAGACGTTTCAGTTTTGTTTTTAATTCCATACTCAAAGCACTTTGGCAGCATCTTTCCTTCTCTGAAGTGAAAAAATCAGTTCAGTATGTATTTTTGGCTTACAAAGTGGCTCATAAGTGGGAAGTACTTTTTTCTTCATGTGCTTGGAACAAAAGTAAAATATTTAAGTTTTGTTGTCCCTTCTGTGAAAATAAACTGTAGTTGGAGTTAAGCAACTGCTTTACTGCTTTGGCCTTGCCGTGCAGGGGATGGCACTTTGTCCAGTGCCTACTGAAGTCGGTGGAAGTCTTGTCACCAGACTTTGAACCAGGCCCAGCATGTCTGTGTAAACAGCTACATTTGGGTTTGGTGATTTACATCCAATGACTTCACGAGCAGTTGTGCAGTTGGTTGTTTGACAGATGCAGGCCAGGGGCTCTGAGGAGGACTGGAGTTTTCAGCTGGGTTAATCATACAGGCTGTGCTGCCAGTCTCAGCCTGCTGCTAGTCTCTTAGAGCCATAAATCATGGGGGTTTGGTATTTGTTGCTCCTGGCTGCAGACTGCGAGGTGTCTGTGGTATGACAGTCAGTGATGGTTCCCAGTGGCTGCAGCCAGTGTACACTGTTGTATGAACAATTGTGTTGGCTCTCTCTCTGGGTCTTTCACTTTATGGGATTGGAATGCCAGGGACTCCTGTTCCTCTGCCCTTCTGCTGCTTCCATATCTTAGCTGCCTTTCTAATTTAGCTGTCTTTACAGTTTTGTCTCCAACCTTCTTTCTTTTATTGCTTCATGTCACTGTTTCTGGATCTAGTTTATGATCTGTTCCAAACCAAACTATTATTTCTCCGAGTCTTAATTTAAAGAAACCAAAAAAATAAATAATGTTTTTCTTATTGCTGTGTTGATGTAAAATGTTGTTTATTTTATGTTAACAACACTATTGAACTCCCAAGGCCTCGCACTGCTGTGCATGTGGATTTTTTACATTTATCCATTAAACACAACTGTGTCTGTTCTTCACATCCTGAGGGGTTTGGGGGCTGTAGCCTGACAAACAGTAGGTAGTTATGATCCCTATAGCTTTTTGTAGGTTTCCTGCTAGCTTTGTTTCAGCTCAAAAATATACTAACTTATAAATGCCCATGATGATCCAACTTAATTCAAGGCAAGTAATAATTAATTGGTAATCTCTCTTTTGTGTGTGTGTGGCCTTATCAGATGATAAATCATATTATAAGACATCTCTCTTTATATAGTAAGGTGAAACAATATTATGTAAAACTGCAGGTGCTTGTAAATCTGTCTCTTCATTTTGGTCTCTTAGATTCTAACTGTTACTCGTTCCATAGGGAGATGGAGCTGGGAATAAAGAAGAAAAATGAGAAACTTATAGGGGAAAAAAATTTCTTAAAAGTAAAGTTTGTAATTTGATCTCAGAAAGTTTTGAAGTAAAAGTGCAAGAGATTGATTTGTCTTGCGGCTTTCTAAGCTGCATATGAGAGAGGAGTCCAGTTGTTCTGCCAGGGTGAATTAACTGTCTTCAGTTGTTCCTGTGTTTGGTTTTTAAACACATAAAGGTGGGGTTTTTTTCTCTCTTTCTCTAAGACTCCTCAGAGGTACAAGCTCCAATGCTTAAGCTTTTGCTAGTATCTGTTCCTACCAGAAGTCATAGAGAACACACTGCATTATTAGTAATTTTAGCTTTTTTCCCTCGGGCAGGATGTAATGGTTGCTGGTGGAATGGAGAGCATGTCTAATGTGCCCGACACGATGAGCAGAGGGTCAACACCTTATGGAGGAGTGAAGCTGGAAGACCTGATAGTAAAAGATGGACTGACAGATGCTTATAACCATATCCATATGGTAAATATTCCTGCACAGTACTAACGTATCAGCCACAGACCTGAGGCAGCTCTGAAGAGCTTATCAGTATTATGAAACTGCTTTATCTAGCAAGCCCAGAAATGAGGGG